GTGGATCTGAGCCCTAGTTGGTTTGGTTCAGTGGATAGAGTGTCGGCCTGCAGACTGAAAGGTCCCAGTCAAGGGTATGTACCTTGGATGCAGGCTTGATCCTTGGCCCTGGTTGGGGCGGGTGCAGGAGACAACCAGTGTGTCTCTCTATCTCTCCCCCTCCCTCCCACTCTGTAAATATCAATGGAAGGCTATCCTTGGGTGAGAATTAACAACAACAACAAAAAGCATTGCTGTTAGGATTTGTTTGGAAAAAAAAAAACAAGGTTTGTGGATTTGAAATGTTTTGGAGAAATGCGTGGAAATTTTAGGTATTTCCTAGTTTTTTTGTTTTATTTATTACTAGAGGCCTGGTGCACAGATTCATGCACATTGAAAGGAGATTAATTAGAAGAAATATTGTAGAGGCCGGGAGGGACCATGGAAGGTTGGCTCCAGGGCATGTCCGGCCTGTCTCGCCCAGTCCTGATTGGCAGAATCCCAGCAGCAGGCTAACCTCCCGGTCGGAGCGTCTGCCCCCTGGTGGTCAGTGTGCATCATAGTGACCAGTCAAAAGGTTGGGCACTTAGCATATTAGGCTTTTATATATATGGATAGCATATGTCACTCCTGTTTGTTTTTCCTTTTTATTGATTAACAAAATTATACAGGCTTCTGTTGCACAATTCCATTATCTGTACATTGTATCGTGTGTTCACCACCCCAAGTCAAGTCTCCTTCCAACACCGTTTATCCCCCTGGCATCACCACACTCTTGTCCATATCCATGAGTTTTTTCTCTTTTTGTTTTTTCCCTCAATCTCTCCACCCCCTCCCCCCCCCCCCCCACATAGCCCCTCAAGCCAACCACTCCCCTGCTGTCTATGAATCTATTTCTGTTTTGCTTGTTAGTTCATTTTGTTCATTAGATTCCATATATGAGTGAAAGCATATGGTATCTCTCTTTCTCTGACTGGTTCTTTTTTATGGTTTCTAGGTCCTTTTGTATGTTTTCTATCTCTTTATTATGGTTCTCACTGAGTTCATTCATTTTCCCCTAAGTTTCTTGAGCATCCGTACAGCCATTGTTTTGAATTCTATATGTGGTAAATTGCTTGCTTCCATTTCATTTAGTTCTTTTCTGGAGCTTTCTCATGTTCTTTCATTTGGGGCATGTTTCTTTGGCTCCCCATTTTGGCTGTCTCTCTGTATTTGTTTCTATGTATTACGTAGATCTGCTATGCCTCCCAGTCTTGGTATGATGGCCTTATTTAATAGGTATTCTCTGGGGCTTGGTGACACAATCTCCCTTGTCACCTGAGCTTGGTGCTTCAGGAATGTCTCTTGTTTGGCTTATGTGAGCCTTCCTGTTGTAGTGGAGTCTTGAGTGCTATTGGCCTATCTTGATGGTGTTGATTCTCAGTCTAGCTGAATGTGAGGATCGATCTTGACCATATTGTACAAGTTGCTGTCTGGGGGCTAACACCACAAAGCAGAATTCACCCCAGCTGGATCTGGTGCCTGCTGACCTTCTCCCTTTGGTTGTGCCCCTTATGGACTAATTTGGTCATGCTCTGATGTGGCCTGAAGCCTGTCGCCTGGTTTGTTGGTTCTGGGGCCTCTTGTGAGGGACTCTAGTGCAGATCAATGTCAGGCGCTGCCTGTGACCAGCCCTGGGTTACCAGTTTGGAGCTCTAAAGCAATCCAGTTTGTGGCTGCCTCTGCGGGGCCTGGGTATGTGGTAGGGGCCAAGCTGTGTTTTATTTAAGCCTGGCTTCTACCAGCACCAAGCTTGGGGACAGGTGAGCAAAAGGCCCAAGGCATCCAACACACACCTCTGTCTCCTGGCTGCCTACCAGGCTCAGTCACTGAAAATGCCTTTGGTGGTACGCGAGCTGTGTCAGGTAGGTTCTTAGTGAATCACCAGGTAGGGACAAGTAGGATTCATCGGGTTTCTAGGTCTGAGGCCATTCAACAAAGCCTCAGTGTACACCCCGGCCAACCACCACCTGCCTGGGAGCAGCAGATCTGTGTGGTGGGGCGGGGTCTCAGGGACTCGTCAGGGTGAGGCCAGCAGAATTCATCAGATGAACACAGACCAAGATAACGGGTGTGTGGAGGGAGGGCACAACACAGGGACGGTGGTGGCTCTGGTCAGCATGTGAGGGAAACATGGCCCTTGCCTAGAGTCACACAACTCCATCCTTCCCTGTTGTCTTTTCCACCCCTCAAATGTGCTCAGATCTTCTTGAGAGGTCCCCAAAGAAGTCTGCACTGCTGCCAGGCTGGCCACAGCCAGCCAGCTCCTATGCAGGGCATGAGCTCAGCAGTGTAGAGCCACAGGAAGTCAGGTGGGTGAGGCTAGTGCACTCCCCAGGCTGACACAGCATGGAGAACAGTGGACCCAGGAAAGATGGTGTCAGTGGATGGTGTCAGGAGGGATTTAGTACAGCTGCCTCTTCAGCTCTCTTCCCTAAGGCACTCAACCGAGTTTCCCCTTGAATGACTCCAGTCCTCTAATCCGCCTTCCTTCCATTGGAACCCACAGTGAGTGGCCACGAATGAGATTTTTTTTCTCTGGCTCTTTAAGAGCGTGCCTGGGTTTCTAGCAGACTCCTGTCTCTCCCTGGTGGTCGGAATCTCCACTGATTTTCACAGCCAAATGTTATTTGGGCTCCTCTTCCTGGCTCTGGTGCTCTGGGCTGGGAATCCCAATATGGGGTTGAGAACCCTTGCTCCTACGGAGGGACCTTTGCAGCTAAGAGATCCCTCCAGACTGTTATCTGCCACATGTGGGTGTGGGGACAGCCCTTTCACATCTCCGCCCTTCCTACCAGTCCCTACTGCAAATCCTGGCTTCTTCTGTTAATCCTTGGTTATAAGACTTCTCTTCCACTAGCCTTCAGTTGGTTTTTCAGGATGATTGTTCTGTGATGTATTGTGATTCCGGTTCAGTCCTGGGAGGAGGTGAGCGTAGTTTCCATCTACTTCACTGCCATCATCTCAGCTGAATATCGTCAGTTACCTGTGTTTCTCTGTAGATAATGGTTTGCAGACAAGTAGCTCCTGACTTTTCTGTTGCCCAATTAATTTTTAACCTATGACTCAGTGCTGAATTCCAGATGTGATCTCACCAGGCAGGTACAGAATGACTGTTGCCCCTTTATCTGGGTTCATCTATCAGTGTGGCACCAGATTATAATAATGTTGTAACTGTAGTTAGCATTAATATAGCACATAGCTATATTTATCATGATAGCTATCACGTATTAGCTAAAAGCATATATTCATACCAACTAAAAACCCTAGGTATTTTTCACATGATCATCCATCAGTATGTTCTACCATCCTGCCTGCTACCATGTTTATGGCATTTGGGGGTCTACGTGCAGGACTTTCTGTTTGTCTCATGTACTCTTGGTTTTGGTTTTTGTCTTGTACTGACAAACAATTATGGTTAACTGAAGTTGGATGAGGCAGAATGAGAGGAGCTGAGAGTTAGAATTAGACCCACTAAACTAAAGGAGGGAAGGGTGACAAGTTGTATAATCAAGATCCAAGTCCTAAGAGGAACTCGAAACCATATAATATGATGTTCAGAGAGGATGCAGGGAGAAAGTGGTGCTCCAGTCCAGCAGTTAAAATCAGGTGTCATGGGTGCCCTAACAAGTGGGAAAGCAAGAAGGTATAGGTATAGGGCTCAGATCAGATGATAAGGTGTATGTTGGAGCTGACCGGCAAAAGAGAACACACTGATTAACAGGTAGCAGAGCATCTGTAATGGAATTCTGGGGTTCGATGCGGGTCTCTAGAAGGGGGATTATTGAGCCAAAAAAAGGCTTCCTTGGGGGTGCTACCAGTACTAGGGTATCTAGAAAGAGAAACTCAGACCTAGGAAAAATGCTAAGACTTCAGATTCAAGAAAGTACAAGAGAAGCCCATGGACATAGGTTAGAACTGGACCCCCAGTAAAAGATAACCATGCCGCTGTGGGGGTTTTTCCTTCTTTTTTCTTGCCAAATACATTATTAGGTTCAAAATGTCCTTTTATCTATCTTGCTCTGTGCCCTCTAATAGGAGGTCTGGATTTTACTAATTAACAATTGTTAAAATAAGTGATTTAAAAATATTTTTAAATGACTTAATGTTTTATGTAATGTCTCTTTCTGAACTTTGCATAAACCATTTATATAAGGAACATGGAGTACTTTTAAAGAACCTGAAAAATCCACCTTGTTTTTCTGATAGCAAAAATAATTTAAGAATAGATTATGCCCTTAGTCATTTATTCTATTAGTATTTTGCCATGGAAACGTTAAACATGAGAGTCTCTATAAATAGAATATTGCTCTAACTGGATTTTTATTCCCAATCCTTTTTTTAAGCCATTACTATTGTTTGTCAGCTTTTAAGTCCTCTAAGTTGGACATGAATTTTAGTTACATCTCAAGAGCTGGGGGTTTAGGGGAGCAAATGCATTAAATTACATTTTGTTTTGAACATAGAATTGGCAGATCCCTCTAGAATTTTCAGAAGGGGTAATTTTATAAGGTTTGCTCAAAAGAGGTTCTTCTTAGTGACTGAAACACAACTCTTAGGCTAAAGTGAATGCCCCAGGCGTGGGGGGTAGGGTGTGGAACAGAGCTTACTCAAACCGTTTTTGGGAGGGTGTAAAGTGTAGCTAGGAACAAGTAGCATAAGAACAAGTTGTCCTAGTGTTGATTGAAGAAAATCCGGTTTTTAATAGCTCAGCATGAAGTCAAAATGCAGGAGGAAATGAAATTGTTGCTTCACATCCTGCCCCAGTCGTTTATCACCAAACGGTGTCTCACCGAAGGCACTTTAAAGTGCACATTCTCCAACGAAACCAGGTGCCTTCTATATCCCCTGATCAGTCCTGCCTTCCAGGGTTTGCCCCTGAACTAAATCCTACTTAAGATATGTGTAAATGAGCGTTAGAGTTAAATGCTTATTTTGGATACTTTTACCTCAGCCCCTTTTCTTTTATTTTTCTCTTCCAGTTTCTGTACTCCTCCTCTAAGGGAAAGTCATGATCACACTAACGGAGCTAAAATGTTTAGCAGACGCCCAATCATCTTATCACATCCTAAAACCGTGGTGGGACGTCTTCTGGTATTACATCACCCTGGTCATGCTGCTGGTGGCCGTGCTGGCGGGCGCGCTGCAGCTGACGCAGAGCCGGGTTCTGTGCTGTCTTCCGTGTAAGGTGGAATTCGACAATCACTGCTCCGTGCCTTGGCACCTCCTGAGAGCCAGCGTGAATGCGTCCTCCGACCTGGGGCCGCCGCTCCCGCTCCCCCTCCGAATCCAGAATGACCTCCACCGCCAGCAGTACTCCTACATCGACGCCGTCTGCTACGAGAAGCAGCTCCACTGGTTCGCAAAGTTCTTCCCCTACCTGGTGCTCTTGCACACGCTCATCTTCGCAGCCTGCAGCAACTTTTGGCTTCACTACCCCAGCACGAGTTCCCGGCTCGAGCACTTTGTGGCCATCCTGCACAAGTGCTTCGATTCTCCGTGGACCACCCGCGCCCTGTCGGAAACGGTGGCCGAGCAGTCAGTGAGGCCCCTGACGCTCTCCAAGTCCAAGGTTCTGCTTTCATCCTCAGGGTGTTCGGCTGATGTGGATGCCAATAAGCAGTCCTTGCCCTACCCGCAGCCCGGCATGGAGTCGGCTGGCATAGAAAGCCCGACTTCCAGTGTCCTGGACAAGAAGGAGGGCGAGCAGGCCAAAGCCATCTTTGAAAAAGTGAAAAGGTTCCGCATGCACGTGGAGCAGAAGGATATCATTTACAGAGTGTATCTGAAGCAGATAATAGTCAAAGTCATTTTGTTTGTCTTCATCATTAGTTACGTTCCATATTTTTTAACCTACATCACTCTTGAAATTGACTGTTCAGTTGACGTACAGGCTTTCACGGGATATAAGCGTTACCAGTGCGTCTACTCCTTGGCAGAAATATTTAAGGTCCTGGCTTCGTTCTATGTCATCCTGGTTATACTTTATGGCTTCACCTCCTCCTACAGCTTGTGGTGGATGCTGAGGAGCTCCCTCAAGCAATATTCCTTTGAGGCGTTAAGAGAAAAAAGCAACTACAGCGACATACCGGACGTCAAGAATGACTTTGCCTTCATCCTCCATCTGGCTGACCAGTACGATCCTCTGTATTCCAAACGCTTCTCCATATTCCTGTCGGAGGTCAGTGAGAACAAACTGAAGCAGATCAACCTCAATAACGAATGGACGGTGGAGAAACTGAAAAGCAAGCTGGTGAAAAATGCCCAGGACAAGGTAGAACTGCATCTCTTTATGCTAAACGGTCTTCCAGACAATGTTTTTGAGCTGACTGAAATCGAAGTGCTCAGCCTAGAGCTGATTCCTGAGGTCAAGCTGCCCTCCACCGTCTCCCAGCTGGTCAACCTCAAGGAGCTTCATGTGTACCATTCGTCTCTGGTGGTAGACCATCCTGCCCTGGCCTTTCTAGAGGAGAATTTAAAAGTTCTCCGCCTGAAATTCACTGAAATGGGGAAAATTCCACGCTGGGTATTTCACCTGAAGAATCTCAAGGAACTTTATCTGTCGGGCTGTGTTCTCCCTGAGCAGCTGAGTACCATGCAGTTGGAGGGCTTTCAGGACTTAAAAAACCTGCGGACCCTCTACCTGAAGAGCAGCCTGCCCCGGATCCCACAAGTCATTACAGACCTCCTGCCTTTCCTGCAGAAACTGTCCCTCAATAATGAGGGAAGCAAACTGGTTGTGTTGAACAACCTGAAGAAAATGGTCCATCTGAAAAGCTTAGAGCTGCTCAGCTGTGACCTTGAACGCATTCCGCACTCCATTTTCAGCCTGAACAACCTGCATGAGTTAGACCTAAAGGAAAACAACCTCAAAACTGTGGAGGAGATCATCAGCTTCCAGCACCTCCAGAATCTTTCTTGCTTAAAATTGTGGCACAATAACATTGCTTATATTCCTGCCCAAATTGGGGCATTATCTAATCTAGAGCAGCTGTCTTTGGACCATAATAATATTGAGAATCTACCCCTGCAGCTTTTTCTATGCACTAAACTACATTATTTGGATCTAAGCTATAACCACCTGACCTTCATTCCAGAAGAAATCCAATATTTGAGTAATTTGCAGTACTTTGCTGTGACCAACAACAATGTAAGTAAATTCATTCTTCTCTTTATTTAGTCATTGGAGTGTCTGCTGTTGCAGTGTGTAATGTGGATAGAGAAGATGGACATTAAATCATACTAAGCATCCTCAGAGAACAGCCTGACCACCACTTACTAGACATGTGACCATGGACAAATCACCAAAACACTGAGCAGCAGTTTTTAAGCTAACTTGTAAGTTGTCAGGGAGATTTTATGAAAAACTATATGAGCACTCGGCACAGTTCCTGATATGTAGTAGTTGCTCAACATATGTTTTCTTTATTCTCTTTTCCTCTATTTTACATAAACAGCACAGTTGAAGTATGTTAAACTAATTAGGTGTGACAGAACTTACTTTTCATTTTGGAAAGGTCTTAACTACTTAGAAAGTTTCATAAAACTTTTCAGCTTTCCGTATCTGCCATAGGAGCAGAAATTTTTGGTAAACATACTGTGATCATGAGTTATTCATAAATCTTTTTTTGTGGTGCAGTAAGACAGATTTGAAATCTACATGCATGTCTAGAAAGGCAATGCGAAATGAAAGGCCTGGTTCCATAATGCAACACTAGGGCTTCTTGGAAGCTTTTTCCAGCATCCATGCTTTACAAATGAACCATAATTTGCAACAGTAAAGCCAAGTTAAGGAAAACTTAACATCTCTGAAACAAGAAAAAACAAAATAAATGACTAGTTTCCTAGGTTAAAATGTGAAGGAGGAGGAAAAAGGAAAAAAAAAATCATGCTAGCCAAAAGCAGCAAGAGAGTGATGGTAATGTCCGAAAGGAAAGAAGGCGGGGAGGGGAAAGGGGGGAGCCGGGGAAGCCTGTCTAACTCAGGTCTGCCAAGAGAGGAAAGTGGTCTTCCTTGGAAATGGGAGCTATTTTCTTCTATCCCACTCATAAATGTGTTATCTCTTAGACCTTTTATCATTCGTATTTTATGCTAAATATAGCTGTGAGGATGGTGTTGGCTAATAAACATATTAATCACCTGGTATTATATTTGGAAACCATGGATTGTTAGAGGAATACCAGAAAGTCAGGGAATGAGGGCAAAATTCATGGCACAAAATTCATACAAATTTTAATGAGGGCTCTGATTTTTACAACTCTTAAGACTTTACACATATGTAAAAGGCTAGAACCCATTCTTAGATAAGAAATCTTCAGGTCGTAAAGGATAATGAGGTTTTAAAGCTCTTTTAGGCTTCATTTAGATTAATAGTGCACTTCAGGATGACCTGAAGGGCTTGTTAAAACATAGATTCCTACCCTAGCCAGTTTGGCTTATGGATAGAGCATCAGCCTGCAGACTGAAGGGTCCCAGGTTCGATTCCAGCCAAGGGCACATGCTTGGGTTGTGGGCTCAGTCCCCAGTAGGGGTTGTGCAGGAGGCAGCTGATCAATGATTCTCTCTCATCACTGATGTTTCTATCTCTCCCTCTTCCTTCCTCTCTGAAATCAATAAATAAATATATTTTTAAAAAAATAGATTCCTGGGCCCCACTCCAGGGTTCCCATTTCAGTAGGTCTGGTGTAGGATCCAAGAGTTGGCAGTTTTAAAATGTCCCAGGTGAAGCTGATACTGTTGATTTTGTGACCATACTTTGAAGTCTACGGGTCTAGAGATTTATCATTAGTGTTGTTAAGTTATGCAGTTGATTAATATTAATATTAATATTAATAGAATAAGGAGACTTCTCATCTTTCCCCCAAAGCTGTCCAAAGATTGAATGAACAATTAAGAAGGAAGAGGTGATTTTCTTATTAATAAGACTCTCTAGATATAGATTATCAGTCTCTTGGTAGGAAGGTTGTTAAAGGGAATTAGAGATTCAGGTTTCATGTGGAATTTAATTTTAAGGTTCCTTCTAATCTTGATAGCCTCATGATTCTATAAGGTAGACCAAAATAGTTATAAAAATTAGAAAATAGCCCTCGCCAGTTTGGCTCAGTGGATAGAGTATGGGCCTGCTGACCAAAGGTTCCTGGGTTAGATTCCGATTAAGGGCACATGCCTGGGTTGCGGGCTTGATCCCCAGTGGGGGCATGCAAGAGGCAGCCAATCAGTGATTCTCTCTCACCATTGATGTTTCTATCTCTCTCTTCCTCTCTAAAATCAATAAAAAAATATATTTTAAAAAAAGAAAATAAAACATCAATTTCGATGCATAAGTATTTATATATGCATATACTTAGAAATGTGAGTTGATTCATTCATTTGGAATAGAGGTTGGTAAAGATTCCTGAGAGAAGTTTTAAAGATTCTTCTAAGGACTTAAGAAATGTATCAGATTCATAAATGAGGCAATAAATACTAACTCTGGAGTTAAAGACTTTTTTTTTTTTAAAGGATGTTGGGTAGCTAATATCACTGAAAAGGTTGCAGAATTAAACTTGGAAAACAAGCACCAAGCTAGTTAGACAGCAAAAAGGACCACAGCCCAAAATCATAGTACAAAAGCGAAATGGTAGAGATACTGTGCCACCGACCAACCCTGGGCACCAGGGCTGCCCCTGAAAACTTGATTCTGCTGCCACTGCAGCCCTTGCCCTTCCACCAAATAAGTTCTTAGTGATTTCTGCTTCTTTGTGACACTACCCCAATTCAAAGTCCAAGTCTGAGCATTGACTGGTAGAGTTATGAATGCTCACACTCGAGCACCAAGATAAGATAGGGAATTCTCTAGATAGCAGAGCTATTGGGCAGGTCCCCAAATGATAGACATTCATTGGGAGGGCCCTCCAGAGTTTCTTCCACAGGATAGTACTAGGTGTTATCACAAAAGCATTCAACATTTCTTTTTTATCATACTTTTGCAGCAGGGTACTTCAGAGCTTTTTAAAAATGAGTATGCGTTTTGCTTCTCTAAGAGGGAGGTATGGTGTGCAATATTTGTCAAACTTACTTGAGCAGGACACTTTTTCATAGTAACTCTGAGTTTCGTGGAACACATCCTGAGACTGCTGGAGGCGGGAAATCTAAAAAAGATAGAGATCATGCACAAAGGATTGCAACAGACAGGCCCAGATGTAATAAGTGAGAGCACTTAACAAGGTGGACAGAATGGAGAGTGCCTTGAGGTCTGCAAGTCAAGTTCATATTTGATTCATTGGAAAATAGCTGTGGTGAGATTGAGCTTGAAAGTTCTAGTTAGCTTGAACTGGTAGTTTCAAAGGTGGCTCTGATTATGGTGCATAGAAGATTGGGCCCTGGCCAGAAAGCTCAGTTGATTAGAGTGTCCTCACAATACACCAAGGTTGTGAATTTGATCCCAGGTCAGGGAACATAAAAGAATTAACCAATGAATTCAAAAATAAGTGAAACAACAAATCAGTGTTTCTCTCTCTCTCTCATCAATAAATAAAACCTTTTTTTAAAAAAAAAGAGTTGGGAGAGGACAGTCAAAAAACAAAACCCCATGAAAAGGTTTGATCAGTTATGATTTACAATTAGGAATACAGATCTAAATGGAGAGACAAAGACTCCTATCTTAAAGATATGGGAGCCAAATTTACCCACAGCCTAAGCTAAGAATGGTTTTTAATTTTTTAAACGGTTGGGGGTAAAACTCAAAAGAATCATGATATTTTGTCTCACATAAAAATTATATGAAATTCAAATTACAGAGTTCATGAGTAAATTCCATTGCTCTCATTTGTGGGCCTATATTACAAAAAAATTATGTTCAATTATTACTATATTTTGACTTTCATTACTTAAATATGCATGAAATCTTTTCTCTCTTGTTATATAAGCACCTACATAATTTTCAGTTTTGCCTCTTGGCCCACAAAACCTAAAATATTACTATCCAGCCTCTGCTCTAGTCCACTGCCCTCCTTTTACTGATACTGAACTGAGGCTCATAGTAATTTGAACTGAGGTCTGAAGCTACCCAGTGATGGAACCCAAGTGTTTCAACCCCTATTCTAGAGCTCTTTCTAGTGCATCTTAGATGCATCAGTCCAACTGATGTTAATATGAAGAGTGGTGTATGTGGAAGACAGGAGAGGGAGAGGCAGCGTCCACCTCGATCCCAGTGCTAAAATGTCATTGGATGCTCATCCATAAGGAACGTGATGGAGAAGCACAAGGAAGAGGGCGAAGGGGGATTCATAGTGTCACTCAAATCTTGTAAACCAGCCCAATTGACACCTAGGTCTTCTGACTTCTACATTTCTGCATTTAAAGCATTTCTTGTATTAACTCAAAGACATCTAGCCAAAAGGTGAACAATGTGGAAATTCCTCCTTATTTCACACATTAATGTGCTATGATGCGGAAGGTCACTTATGTGGCAGGGCTTATTGTTTTTACCATCACTACTTAGAAACAGAAACCTTCAGCTTTGTTTCTTGAAACAATTAGATTTTATATATTTGGTTAGTACTTCCGAGTGAGATAGCATGTGTCAATGGCCAGAAAAAAAGGAAATCTGACATTGAGAAGGATTCTGAAGTAAGGTCCCAGCCTCTGGGAAACAGAGGATTTCATTATCAATGTCAGCCATAGATATAGGAAGAGAATCACCTCCCTTCGGATGTCCTAGGGATATTAGAACATTTTGTTGAAAATATTTGGTTGTGCTGAACCGGTTTGGCTCAGTGGATAGAGCGTCAGTCTGTGGACTAAAGGGTCCCAGGTTCGATTCTGGTCAAGTACCTGTACCTTGGTTGCAGGTGCATCCCCAGTTAGGAGGCAGCTGATCGATCTTTCTCTCTCATCAATGTTTCTAACTCTCTATCCCTCTCCCTTCTTCTCTGTAATAAAATATATTTGTTTAAAAAAAGAAAGAAAATATTTAGTTGCCAGAGAATTCTAGGATATAGAGTGATATTGTAGCTATTCATTTTGTTCATTTTATAGTTTATTGTATTTATATATTATAGTTTAGTCTATAAAACCTTTCTGTTTATGAACTTTATTACCTCTCTGATCAAGTCTGTAAGTATTGTGATTTTTGAAAAGAAATCAGTGGTCCACCAAGGTAATTCTTTTCTTTCTGGTTCATGTATTATATAGTCTAAGCAAGAACATGCTAAATGAATTCAGTATAAATAAATGCTATACAAATTTTTTTAAAATAAAATTCATTGGCCCAGTCAAAAACTGTTTGGTGTTCTTGTAAGCTTCGTGCAAACTCTTTTTTAAAGGTGTAAGTAGATTTTTCAGGATGAGATTGCTGAGTTGAAAGAAGGTCTTGAGTCTCTAACATAGCTCCCAGCCTCCTTTAGCAAAATTGAATCCCAGTAGATGAGTTAGGGCTGTGCTTTCACGGGGTGCTGATGTTGAGAAAAAGCCTGAGATGGACACTTAGTTCTGGGGAAGTGGTTCCACTAACCACAGCCCTGACTCACTGTCATGGCAGCAGCACAGGCATGTTGACAGCCCGGCCTCAGAGGCTCACTTCCTTTGCCTTGTGAAATCCCTGGAAGTCGCTAAGATCACACAGTCTGAAATTTGGAAGAAGATTGGTGAAAACCTGATAGTGCTGACAGCCCAACAGAAGGAGAGTGAGGGCCATGGCTTCAGGGTGTCCACCCACTAGGCAGTCAGTTCCAATGAGCAAGGTTCTTCCTGGCATCTGAAAGCGGACCGAAGAAGTGAGATGTGGGTACCCTGGTGCACCTCTGCTTAGGGCTCTCTTCTTCATAACATTACAGACTAATTAATTGTGTAATTGTTCAATATCTTTCTCTCCCATTAGACCACTGTTTCTCAAATGGGAACAACTTTGTCCCCCAAGAGTCATTTGCCTTGGAGACATTTTTGGTTGTCACACCTGGGGAGGGGAGTGGAACCAGCACCTAGTAGGCGGAAGCCAGGGATGCTGCCAAACATCCTACAATGCTTAGGGCACCCACCACACAAAGAATTATCCTCTCCAGATGTCAACAGTGCACGGTTAAGAAACCCTGCATTAGACTAAGATTCTTAAAGACCCATCTGTCATGCTCAGCACTTTATCCCCAACACCTGAGCACAAAAGGAGGCTCTCCACACACATTTACAACTGGTTTGCCTAAGCCATTGCTTAGGCACCAGCAGGCACTATCCTGAGCATATTGCACAGGACTTAATGTTTCCTCTACCCCCATCTCACTGACTCTACTTCCGAGCTGCCAATGTCTCTGAAGGAGTGACATTTCTTCTGTCTTATCTCTCTGTCATATCTCTATATTGAAATCTACATATGCATAGTGTTGCATTTGCATTCTTGAGAAGAGATTGAAATAAAAGGGTAGATGTTTTTTCGTTGCTTATACCTAGTATTTTGAGGTACAGTAATGGGCTATATTGAATGCTGGTTTTAGCGACAGTGATCATTAGGTTTATTATCAAGACTCTTCACTACTGAGTGTATGTGCGGGGGATGGAGGGGAGGGGAGGTGGCAACATAATGAGCATTTATGAATATAGTATGGCAGTTCTTTAGTTTGTGTATAGAACATGTTTATCCTTTTGAGGAGATCATTCTGGATGGCCCCAGAAGTTCCAGCAGAGAGCTGGGTCGGCGTCAGCCCCTCCCCTCCGGAATGCTCCTATCCTCCTTGTTTCTAACACGGCCACTTCCCGAACCAAGAGCCCATGTTTCATGGTAGCAAAGATGCCCTGTCCCCACCTGTGTAAATATGTGGAGTGTTGTAGAGTGAGGTGTGTGCAGCCCAGCTCTGCTTGGCCCAAACTCACCTCTCAGCGGCAGGGTGAGAGCTGAGGGCACTGTGCATGCCCAACTCTCCTGTGGACCTCTTTCCCCAACAGCCCTATCTCATATACACACAGTGGCTCTCTTAGAAATCCATGAGCACCCTACCCACCAGATAGGGGAGCGGTTCAGTTGAGTGGCTCCAGGAGTTCACTTAATTGCAGGCTATTTATCATATTTTAAATTATTTCTCTGTGTTACATCATTTAATTGAACCAGCCAGGAAGAAGGGTAAATAAATACTCGTGTATATGTAGAGGGCAATGAAATATATTATCATGTCTTCTGTCGACTTTTTTTTTTTTTTTTACAGAATAATGTTTTCAGTCTATACTGTGAAACCCTAAGGAAATAGCCTCATGTCTGTTCTCAGGATGTTTTTGAGGGTGTTGCTTATTACATATAAGACAGGAAATTCTTCACAAGGACTCTTTTTTTTTTTTTTTTTTTATTGATTTTTTACAGAGAGGAAGGGAGAGAGATAGAGAGTTAGAAACATCGATGAGAGAGAAACATCGATCAGCCGCCTTCTGCACATCTCCTACTGGGGATGTGCCCGCAACCAAGGTACATGCCCTTGACCGGAATCGAACCTGGGACCTTTCAGTCCGCAGGCCGACGCTCTATCCACTGAGCCAAACCGGTTTCGGCCACAAGGACTCTTGAGAGCAATTTACTTCTGATCTAGGACTCAAGAATAATTATGATTCTCCTGAGTTACTAGCTTGTTTTTTTCTCCCTTAGGGACAGTGAGTATGTAACTGATTAGGTTTTCTTTGAGAATTGCTTATTAGAATGTTTAGAGCCAAATAGGTTGCCTACCCACATATAACAAGGGTTTGAAAGTTTATGGTAGCCTCCATTCTGACTCCATGTTGGGATATCCTTGTTTTTCCTTTATATTTTCCATCTACTTCAAATGTATCATCAGTGTTACATGTAAACATCCAGAAATGTTTTTGGAAAAAGGGTAGAGGTATACATAAGTAATTGTACTATAACAGGCCATCCAAAACTGGTCTTACTGGCTTTTTTCTTTCCGTTTCCAGATTGAGATGCTACCAGATGGGCTGTTTCAGTGCAAAAAGCTGCAGTGTTTACTTTTGGGGAAAAATAGCCTGATGAGTTTGTCCCCTCACGTGGGTGAGCTGTCGAACCTTACTCATCTGGAGCTCATTGGTAATTACCTGGAAACACTTCCTCCTGAACTGGAAGGGTGTCAGTCCCTAAAACGGAGCTGCCTGATTGTCGAGGAGAACTTGCTCAATACTCTTCCTCCCCCTGTCACAGAACGCTTGCAGACGGGCTTAGATAAATGTTGACCTACAGAGAAAACTTCTAAAAGTGTGCCCCAGGGCTTTAAATGAGAACTAAAGTTTCCTAACTTATAAAGATTTTTAAAATGGGTAATAATTATGACTAACTATAATCAAATGTTTTATTAAAAGGCGTCTCAGTGTCTAAGTAAACAGGTAAAAAGTGTTCACACTGAAATGAGTTTTGTGAATAATTGATCTTTTACTTATTGACTTGTAAGAAGTACGCTTTGAGGGTGGAATGGGGGACATGAAATTATTGAATGTCCACCTTGCAGTTATTACCTTGAAGATTAGCTATTCTTTCCTCTCCCTCCCCAGCCCCATGACTTATTTGCACACTTGTTTTAACTGACGTCCTGTTTGGATATTTATCAGCTAGACCATAAACTCATCAATATAAATGCCCTTGATGTACACTCAACGCTGTCTTTGATTTATGTTCTTAATTATTTTTAGGCAGGGTGTCTGGTGCTTGGCAGAATTCCTTCTTGGTTTTTTACTTCCTGTCCCAGCTTGATTGAGTCTTCCTTCCTGTGGTTTTCTCTTAACAATGATGAACCTGAGAAAGTGCCTGCTTTGGGCCTCTGCCTAGGACAGGAGCAGGGTACTTAGGACATGTCACCCTTGGGACATCCTGAAAATCCATGTCTTCTCCAAGATGTCTTCTTGTGTATCATCAAAGCTTTTTTTTTTATTTGCTCGTAAGTGTTTATATTAAATGTAAAACATAAATATTTTTATTGCATAATCTTGGATTCAAAATCTGTGGGAATAATTTTTGTAAGGTACAGAGAACACATGCATATCTGTAAGAATTTACTATTAACTTGCTTGGGGTGTTTTTTTTGCCTGCTTATGATTCTCATGTTTGTGTGCATTCTCCAAAATGTTTTTGTACTCTGCAACTAATTACTTTTGGATAACAAAAGCCTTGTGTTTCATGCCCTAAAATATGTAAGGGTTTCCTTATAAAAGGATGGCCACATCATCTACCTCTCTCTTCCCTTGTTGCTGTGCTATTATTGTACGGGTACAATTCTTAATAACTTCAGAAACTGTGATGGAGGGGAGAGGTAGAGATTTCAATCTTTAAAACTGACTTCAAAATATCTTGTAGAAATTAAGAGTTAAACCAAAACACTTTACTTTCTTCTCCATCTGCATGATCTGTAGATATGATTATAATGTAAAACACTCAGCCTCTATTCATAGTTTAAAATGAGTTCTCAAAGCTCACAAAGAAATAAACCCATTTAACTGGAATTCATCTCATGCTTCTGGTTAACTTTTCTGGAATACAATTTGCTCTTTTTTTATAAAGAGCTTTTGTGTTTGGCCTTCTACCGTGCATATTGTAAAACGAAAATCAACGGACTCATTTTGGGTAAATGTACGTTTTTAATGTGTTTCTCTAGGCATTATGATGCCATCTAATTTTTGGTGTGACTATGAAGTAATTGATTAACCGCACCTAGACAAAACTGGAAAAACACTATGGGTAAAGAGTACCGTAAACATGGAATTGTGATGTTTGCTGTTTTTCTTGCTTTGCCCATTCCAAAAAGATGAAAGTGAGTCTTTATAACAAAATGTAGCTTCCCTTTCCTGCCACACACACCTGGACTGAATCTCAGAGAAAGAATTGTTTGCGTCAGATGAATTTGAATAATATTAGCTATAAAAATTATAAAACACCAAAGGCTGCCTAAACCTTATGGTTTATTCTGAATGAGAAGGAATGGTGTAAAAATGTAATTCTTACCAAAACTTGCCTTTAGTCAGAACATTCAAGTTCTCAGGGACCCAGGCATAACTGATGAAACTTTCTTCTAGGACTTCAGAAAACAGATTCTGACTATATCTAGAGTTCTTTTTGTCATTTTTCCTATTTTTAATGTGAGTTGATGCTCATTTTCATATTTCACAATAGAATTGTCATGTGTGTTGATCCCGTGTTAGATAAGATTATCTTAAGTTTTGGATGTGAACAAGAAACATGGAGAGGTATGTTCTCAGAACATAAATGTTTGGGAACAAATAAATAGCCATAATTTGTATGAAAATTTTCATCCTCTTTTCTAAAGAAGAGTTTTCAAAACAAATTTTAGATTGTTACCATTTTCCTGACAAACTAGTTCTCCCTGGCTAGTCACTGGTTGTATTCACATGCAAAAGTCATTGGATAATCTTCCTTATCACCTCTCTCAATTTCTGAAAGTGAGTTACTATCAGGATTAATAGTGAATATTGTAAGCTTCTTTCCAAACATAAGGGTGTAGTAACTGGTGCAAACTCTGTTCTCAATGCCCTTAAAAAGTTCTCAGATTTTTTTCTTATTTCATCCTTACACACCAGTGTTTAGGTAGCTTTTGAAATGACGTCACACCAATGCAATGAACTCTGAGACCACCACCTGACACACCAAAGGGGTTTAATGCCACCTTTCCTGCGTGGTTGGAACAGATCATTTTATATGTGTTCATATTCATGTATGGGGAATTTAAATGGAGAAAATGAAGTTGGTTCACTTGTAATTGTGAGACTTTAGTTGGCATTTGATTTCCAAGAATGTGCAGTACATTTTCCAAAAAATAAACATGGATGTTATTCAGAACAAAGTTAATGGCATTGGTTCATTTTATTTGCATGCATACACACATAGAGACATGCATATACCTATATATGCAAAATGTAACATGAGTCTTGGATATGTGTAGTATTTTTTCCCAAAGTTGCAAGAGGATATTTTTTATTCATATCTCATAATTATGGAGTGTCTTTTTTTCTCTTAGTTACATTTTTTAGAAACTGATTGCTCAACCTTAGCCTGAGAACCTAAGCAGTTTTAAGCATTTCTGGTAAGATATAGTGTTCCTTTCCTAACCTACATCAGGGTGACTCTGTGACACATAGATACTGTGTTTTCATTCTTCATCCTCAGTCTTAATTTCCCCCTGGATGTCACCATATGTCACTGTTGCGTAAAGAATGTTTGTGTGAAACAGGGTAGAGATCCTCAGAATCTCAGCACTGTGGCTTACACAGCATGTGTGTGCTGTGGTGAGCTGCACTGAGGTATTTGCAGACCTTTGTTGGATGGTGAAAATATTTGTTTTTGTTCAAGTGCTTCATGATTCAAATTTTGTATGTTTAATTAAAACTGCATAATATTGATGGGTTCAGAAACTATTATAATAAACAATTCTGTGGATTTATAGCTTTATTTCCTTGTATTTTCAATAAAATGCTCTTTCCATCTTTGTTCTCTTATCATTGTCCTATATACGTAAGGTATTTTGTTTTCTCCCTCCACTCACTCACCTCCTTAAATTTGATCAGCACTTGTACAGTAACAATATATTTGTGCTAGGGAACTGACAGTGATACCTGAGGAGGAGCCAGAGCCTATAATCATGCCTAGTTGAGTAGTTCTACCTTTCCCACCCCTGCAGCATTTAGAGCTAATCCAGTGGTCCTCCATCTCTCCTAAAAGCATGAGAATATAACTGTAAGTCGGTTTTCAGGAACTGTATATTGCATTAGAATCTGTGTTTATTTTTTCTGGAAACAAGAGGAAGGCTGATGGGAGAGGGGAAGAGTTATTTTGTACCCTTGTTTGAATTATGACGACACATACATGAAACTTGCAAAATGCCCTAAATATAATTCTTATCTTCAGCTGGATATGAAAGCTGAAGTAGTGGAAAATCTGCAGTCCTATTTAATTGCTTTCTTCCTGTTTCTGGTCCATCACCTCTCTATCCACTGGGAACTATCTATTAAGTTCCTTTGGTAATGAACTACATTCTCTTAAAATTTTTTTTTACATGAACAATCTCATCACCACAAAAGCATTAACATAGAAAATATAAGCAAAAGCACTGAATTGAGATGGTTTCCAGTTGAACTTAATTTATACTGAAGTTTTGCATTTGACTTGTATAATACACTACTGCTGAGAAAAACAATTATGAGTGCCTCCGGCATGTCATGTATTATCAACAGAGATGGTTCAATTTAAAAAGTACAAAGGGGCATAGAATTAGAATGAATGTCTCTGTGCATATATGTGTTGTGTATAATCCTAAACATGTTTAAATATTTTTAAAATTCTTCAAATGTTTCACTTTCGCCCTAGCCGGCTTGGCTCAGTGGATAGAGCGTCAGCCTGTGGACTGAAGGGTCCCAGGTTCGATTCTGGCCAAGGGCACGTGCTTGGGTTGCGGGCTCCATCCCCAATAGGGGGCGTGCAGGAGGCAGCCCATCAATGATTCCCTCTCATCATTGATGCTTCTCTCTCTCCCCCTCTCCCTTCCTCTCTGAATTCAATAAAGAAATATATTCAAAAACAAACAAACAAAAAACAAATGTTTCACTTTCAGTGAAATACTGGGCCAATCTGAAGTAGAGCCATTTTCTTGTTAGCATCCCCAGTGAAGGCTAGCATTGCTTATTTTATCTTTGTCCCATATTTTGAAACATGCATAATCAGCTTTTGCCTCTGGCAATAAATTATTAGAAAAGGTAAGACTTTAGCTTGAGTTGAATGTTTTCGGCCCTCAGGTTTACCATGAAAATCTGCATTTTAGTGGTAAATCCCTTTGCCTGAGATCCATTAGGTTTGGTAAACTTTACTGTTTTTAAAGTACATTTTGTGTAAAAGGAAGATTCAATTTTTTATAACAAATGGCAAATAAAAACATTAAAAGTTGAAAGAAGTTGACTACTATTTCTTACCTGTGTCTACCCGTCAGTGCCCAGGTTCCAAAAGTGATTCCCTTCCTCCTTCCACACTTCCCTATGCAGCCAGCTGTACGGTTACATAATTCACCAAATGATAGATTTTAGGTTTACACATGAATCTCATAACACTCCTATGAGTTTTCAAAATAAGCTACAATTGTCACAAAATAGCAAGCCCCTAAAAAGAGCTGGATTGATCCTTGAATGAACGGAGGGGCAGTGGAAGGTGAAACTTGACACTCTCCTAAGAGGTTCATCTTTCCAACAGTGTTCATCCTTGGGGACCTGAGATCACTAACCAGCCCATCTCTCTGCCTCTCTTCCTGGCTCCAGAAAAAAAACAAAGAAATGATTTGCAAGATGACATTTTCAGAAGGTTTAGTAAAGGGAACAAAAATAGAATCATTGGGAAAAATAGACACATAGTCATTTGATCTGTTTGTTTTTTATTATTTTTAAATCATTATTTTGATATCTCTCCCCCCCCCCCTTCTCTTCCTCTATTTCAGCGTATACACGCACCGCGCGCGCGCGCGCGCACACACACACACACACACACACACACACACACACGGTGTCAGGAACACATCAGAAAGCTGATCCTCAGATCCTTTCTCTGCTGGAGGACAGAACTTGATACACACCGAACCAGATTATGACAGAAATTAGCTGCTGAAACCAGATGGACATATTTTTTCCTGGAAAGGCGGTTCTTCAAGAAGGCTTTCCTCTACCTCCCAAGTGCCTTGGGAATGGGAAATACAGGATTTTACACATTTTAACAGCTGGTAGCTCAATTTTGAAAATGACAGGTAAACACTGCCTTTATAATTATTCAAAATGTGTGTATACATTTGGGGAGGCGGGGGGGAACACCCTACATGTTGAAAAAATAAAGCCTGCACCAGGCTCAAGGCATTCACAGCCACCCAGGGCCTGCTGGGTGTTTGGGGACGCTGGTCCTCTGCTAACAGCCTGCAGGGCGGTGACATGCCCCCATGAGCACCGTACTAAGTGTGGCTTCGTGTTCTTCAGCATTCACTTCCACAATGCAAAATGGCTTATCAAAAACGTGGTGAAGGACCTGCCTGTGCGAGGGGGGGCGGGGGGGTGCGTGCGGTCAAGGGCACGGTTTGAGTCTGGAGCTTCAGCTTCTGTTGGGCTTCTGCCCCTTTCTCCTCTGGATTCTCTGAAATCCTAGCTTGTCAACTCTGTCCCTCTCATCTCCGAGGTCTGGAGGCCAGCTGTTCATCCAAAGGTGCAAAGTTAAACCTTGAACTCAAGCCCCATGTTTACAGAGGAATATGTAACTATAGGCCAAAGAAGGATCAGAAAGAAATACGCAGTCCTTTTTAAAATTCAAATATCTTCTCACCTTGTGTTATCTCATCATCCTCTAGACTAGAATTATAAGTCCTGCCTCCTAAATATCAATGATTCTATAGGACTACCTGTGTGTTACTGAGAGCTTTTCAAATGATTTATGTTATTGTAAGAAATATTCACACTTGTAAAAAAATAATTTGTGAGTTTATTTGAGCCAAACTGTTGACAATTGCTGAGAAGCAGAATCTCAATGAATTAAGATAATGTTCCAGAGAATGGCGGGTTTTCACCTTGTTTTATACATTACAGTCAAAAGAGGAGATGTAAGTGGGTTGCATGAACTCCATTAGTGATAGATTAGGGAGGTGGGAGAAAGCAAAGCAGGGAAACCTCTGGGATTGGATAAAAAAATAAAATGATATACACATACTTCTTTTACTTAGGTGGGTACAGGATAGTTAACAGTCAACAATTAACTCAGTAACAATGAGGATTTGTGATCTCCGCAGAGCAGTGCCTGTGCTTTGAGGGGCTCCAGAAAAAAAGAAAAATTACTTTGACATTCCAACGATATGTTATCGTAGATACACAAAGACAGTAGGCTCAGTTAAGTAAAGATTCACCTTTGTCAGGGAAGATATCGGCCTAGGATATGACTACCACCATAAACTGCTTTTTCATTTAAAAAGTTTTCATTTCAGGCCATCCTTTGTGGTTACTTTAGGTCTTTGAGTTTGCAAGGCCACCACGCAGGCCTTCCCTGAGTTAGTCAGGTTAGCATGTGGCCCCTTTTCGTAAACACTCACAATAAACACCTTAAAGTTTGTTCACCTTTTTACACAGGCATTTGTTGGTGTAGAGCTCAACACATTATTTTTTACTCTCTGCCTCCCTCTGCTGCTGAGATAAGAACAAACCAAATAGAAGCTTCCTTTCCCTCCCCTTTTTTTATTCAGTTTCTCTTTGCCTTACCTTTATCAAATGCAGCCCCCAAGGGAAGCTCTTGAGAATTCAATGGCCCTCATTTAATCCTAATGACTCCATCTCAACTGAGATGCCTTAGAAAGCCCCCTGCAGTGCCTGGCACCAGGACCAGACCGGAGGTGGACAGGCAAGAATTTAGCACCCCTTTAAAAAAACACTTTGAATAATTTATCCAATGTGTATTTGGTAGAGGTGGGGAAACTGGTTTTCTATTACTGAAAACCATGAACCTTTATATGAGCTGTCTAGTTAGTCCCTTCTCCAATAACAAAACTCTCACAAGAGTGAGAGAGAGTTTAGAGATGACTGAGCAGAGAGCTAAGTGGGAGCTGTAGGGCAAATAAAAGTTACTACAGCTCAGAGCATTTCTTCAAACATCGCACTAGACCATCTCTTCTCCAGGCGTCAAGAGCAGGCCTGTCAGCTGCTGGGCCTCCCTCTTTCCCCTCAATGCACCCTATTTTCGTGGTCCCTTCCCACTCCCTTCCTAGATATCTCTCTCTCTCTCTCTCTCTCTCTCTCTCTCTCTCTCTCTCTCTCTCTCTCTCTCTCTCTCTCTTACTGCTGTCCTAACCACATACTCCAAGCTTACATGTCCTCTCCCATTACTAAATCCCATCTTTGAGAGTATTAAGTACTATCATACCGAGGGTGAGATTTTAGCTTTCCTCACAAACATAAATGTATTTCAGTTACCAAGATTCTTCCTTCCTACAAGGTGGTTTCTTGTCACAACTTCAAATAAGAGACTTTCTCAACGCGCTGACTGGGAGCAGGACCAATTTGCATTCCTTAGGCTGGAAACGTAAGAAATTGCATGTGGAAACCTGAGTTAACCGGTCCCCTATTTCCAATTATCCCAATGACATTGGGTGTTGCTTGTAAATTAGTACCCACCCCGGCAAATGTTTAAACAAATGCCAACTGAGTGAAGGGGTTTTCTGACTAGTCTTTTCCTGTACTGGGTTTGTATTCCCATCTTTGCCTATTGCCTCTATGGGAACTTAATAGAGAGACTACTCAGATCATTATGGGGAGAAAAGAGTAGTTCCATCATCTTTTTTCACAATAGGCAGGCAGTTGCTCAGTGGAAGGGGAAGGCTGAAGAATTAACTAAGGGAAGGAAAATAGATCGTCTCCATTAAGAGGCCCGAGGAAAATTTGCTGGGCTTCTGATATCTCGGCAGAACCTCATTAACGGCTTCAA